GGGGGCCCGCGAGACCTGCGGGGCCCCGCAGATGAAGGCAGTAATCTGGAGAATTTAGCGGGCGCCCGCGGTGGCTCAGCGGGCTCCCGCGGGTCCCTGTGCTCAAAACATTCAGCCTTCTCTGTAGCCATTTTGGTTGGCCTAGTGACACATTCATCATATTGAATGCAATGCCGCAAAACTCATGCAGATGATGGCTCAAGAACTTGGCCTAAATAACGGTCCCCAGCAACGGCGTGCTTCGATTCTTCAAAAGTTTGCCAAAACTGTTCTTTTAATCAATTTCGGGGGAACTAACCTGAAAGAGGACAAAAATAGACAAATAAAGCTACGCTATACATTACCATCAACTAATGGACTTAACTAATGTAAATAAGGGCGCTTAAATATGCAATATTCGGCGCTTATCACCCCCAAACTTACATTTTGCTAGTCCCATAGCAAAAGCAAAACATAGAACCTAACCAAAAAAGATAACATAAGGAATGCTGACAACATGCATCGATCATGAAGCAAGAAAAATACCTACAAAGCGTACATGTAACTTGGAATAACAGAAAATTGGAGACAGACTCATTCAGCAGACTACCTTGCATATATGAGGCCTTGATAACAAAAGTGGTAAAACACATTTCAACTTTTATGCATCAATCATCATAGTCTATATAAACATTTCAATTGTCATCTCTTGAATAAACATGAACTCTAGCTTCAGTGAAAGTGAACCAGATTCCCAATATGCGGCTTTTACCCTCTTTGTCCAATCTCAGGAACACAAGCTTTCAAATCATTGAATTTCCTTCTAAATGGGATCCCTAAGGCATAACTTTATTCGCAATACAACTTTTGTTGCTTAATTATTTATATACATATTATGGTCGTGCAATGCCGAAGTCCTTTAAGCTTTCTAACCAACTCATATAGCAAGCGTTAGGTCAATAACTCCCAAACCAGATGGCTTTAGGGTGCTAAGTGTAGAAACATTCCTAGGGCTTAATAACTCGAGTTGGAAAGGCTACGAACTCCAATGAACCATATTTATTTATTTATCTTTTTGTGAATGAAAGTGCAATGTCTAAGTCCCTTAAGCTTTCTAACCAACCCATGTAGCAAGTGTTAGGCCAACAACTCCCAAACCGGATGGCTTTAGGGTGTTAAGTGTCGAGACACTCCTAGGGCTTAATAACTCGAGTTGGAAAGGTTATGAACTCAAACTGGTCATTGTCATTAATTATTATTATTATTATTATTATTATTATTATTATTTTTTTACTTAGTTCATGCCAAAGATATCCTATTCATTAGGGTCATCAATTCTGATCCACTGAGTCATGGTCAAGGTCAATTGGGTTGCATACCTCACAATTAGGTTTCCAGTATGCATATGTGTAATGTGAAGCATAGAAGAGTATGAAATCCGACAAAAATCTAATTGAAGCATTTACACAAACCGATATGAATCAACATGGTCATTTCAAATTTTTCTTTATTTTCAAAATTATCATTTGCCTCTATACCCAAAGTATTAAACACATGTTCAAATTCCAACAAGTTCAAAATTACAATATCATTGCTTCCAACAAAATGATTTTATTAACTTACATGCATCAAAAATGAGCAACAATGTAAGAATGCACCCCCAAACTTGAAGCTTACATTGCCTCTATACCCAAAGTATTAAACACATGTTCAAATTCTAGCAAGTTCCAAATTACAATATCATTGCTTCTAACAAAATGATTTTAATTAAGTGGCGGTGCAAAAATAGGCCACTTCGTGAATTCCATGAGAAGACACATCTTCTCACATTGTCCTCAATGTGAGAAGACAAAGGATAAATAATGAAGAATGAAGAGTGCAACAAGAACAATATAGTACTAAGATGAAAAGGAATTGAGTGGCGGTGCAAAAATAGGCCACTTCTTGAATTCCATGAGCATACCCCCAAACTTAGTGTCAAAAACCTGTTAAAAGCAGCTATACACAGCAAGTATCATATGAATCCAAAATGAATGAAAATAACTGCTGATGAGCACTGAAAAGTGCGCATTTTAACCCGTTAAGCTTGGGTATTCTAGAACCTTTATCTATCTTACTTTACCATTTTAGAATGATTTCGTGTTATTTCCGTTTTCAAGCACTTATCCCGAAAATAAGCTAACTCAGCCAAATAAGAGCTTAAATGAAGCAATTATGGGATTGAACAAAGAAAGGAGCAAAGTGAAGAAACAAAGAAGCCAAAAGTGGGAAGCAGCAAAGTTCGATCGATCCAAGATGAAGGTTCGATCGATCCAACATTCATCAATCTCAGCACTTCAAGATGGATCGAAACCATGATATTCACATTCAGAAATCCAAAACTTTGATCAATCCAACACCATCCTTCGATCGATCGAATCCCTTAACCTTATCCAAATGATTGATCTTATCCACAGCTGTACCACCTACTAACCACTTTTGTCCTTTTTCCCAAAATATCTCCAAAAATATCTCGGATTTGTCTTTTCCCAAAAAGCTCAGCTAGTTGGATCAATCCCGCCTTAGTTCGATAGATCTAAGCCAAGTTCGATCGATCCAAGTCTAAGGTTCGATCGATCGAACTTCCTCCAGTGCGAAAAAGTTAAAAAGCCAGCTCATTCACTCCATCCTCTATCCAATCATTGGGGAATATGCCTTGCACGACCCCAGCTCATTTGGTGTGTCATTTGACCTACCTATAAAAGGAATATGATGCACTTTTTGAGAGAGACTTTTGGAGATTTAGCAATTTGGTAGAGGCAACTTTAGAGACTACTCTTAGTGAGGAAAAAAAGGAGGAGGAAGTTAGAGACACCATTGGAAGCCTTTCACCTTCCAAGGAGCATATTTCATCCATGGAGCTTGCCCTTGAGGGTTGGAAGAGCATCACCATGAGTGGCTAGACATCCTCTTGGGGCTAGAGTTAGCCCCAAGCATGTTTTCTTTACCTTAATCTTGTTTATTATTGAGGGATTAGTGTTGTAATATATGTTTTAACTCTTTGATATATCTAGATCATGTTATTCAATGATTTATATGGTTTAATGCTTTCAATTGATCATTTAATTCTATCTAATGTCTATGTATGCTAGAATAGATGTTCATGTGCTTGTCTCTATTTCTTGTGTTATTGATGCATATCTATGTGTATTAACGTTATAGATCTAGAGATTGTCAAAACATAGTGCTTAATGGAATGCTCTTGCTATTTTCTTGCTGGTTCATACTTATTCCTTGATGAATTGTGCCTCTCCCTTAGTTTATTTTCCTGCTAGTAGTGTAGATGTAGTGTAGTTGTAGTGTAGTATTAAATAGGAGGACAATCCATGCTTGTTGTTTGATGTTCCATGCTTTTCAATGCAAGTAGCATTTCTCTCTAACCTTGTGGTGTATTTGGATTGTGAGCTTAATGAAAGGATTAATGACTTGTTTTGATCTATTATGCCTTTGACATGTTGTTTAGACAATATATGCTTCATTGCTTAAAATATTGTGCCTTTCACATGATGTTTAGACTATACTTGCTTAATTGGTCATCCTTGCTAATTGAACCAACCAATTTCACACACACACACCAATATTGTAACACACCTTACCCTCATTAGTCACTTGTTAATGGTATAGAAATGTCTTGCTTGGTGGTGATCTCTAAACCCCAAGATCTCTCTCTCTCTCTCTACTTACTCTTTATTGCATTCATACTTAGTTTAATTTAGTTGCTCTTTAGTTTAAACAATCAACCAACCATTGTTTGATCACTCGACCTACTAACCCTAATCTCGATTCCACAACACAATTCGACCTAGCACAATCCACAATCCCTTGGGACGATCCCTACTCGCCCTAACTATATTTTTCGTGAAGGTAGTAGTGGCTTTTATAAATGTAGAACTCTTGGCCCTCGCCTTAATGCACACTCTCTAAGCTTGATTGTGGCAGTGCGACCTAGGCGGCCCGGCCAGTTTTTGGCGCCGTTGCCGGGGATTGATTGATTGGATTTGGCAACGTCGAATTTGTGGAATTCAATTAGGATTAGTACTCTTTTAAACGTGTCTTTACTTTCTTTTTATTTTTCTTTTGGTTACTTATTATGTTTGTTCTTACTTGACTAGGTGCATCGAGTTGAAGAGAAGCCAAGCAAAGGAACAATTAAGCAAAGCTAAGCAAAACAAAGGAAAAAGCTAAAAATTGAAAAATTGCTAAGCTAAGCTAAATTTGGAGTTGAAGTGCTATAGGACCGTTGTGAGACTTTCTTGACTTAATCTCTTAGTTAAATCGTAAGCCCGCATGGAGGCATTGCATTTCATTTGTAGTTAAATCGTGAGCCCGCGTGGAGGCATTTTATTTTTCTTGCATTGCATCATTATTGTTTGAATCATGGGAGTATAAGATCATTGTATGTGAAGGAAGTTTATTGATCATTGACTTGTCGCGAAGGAGGAGTGCTTGTTTTGTTATGTTTAGTGTGTCATATGTAGTCTTGTATAGACCTTGTCATATTATTCATTCTAGACAATTCCATGGAAAACCTAGAAGGTAATCTTGGCTTCTTAGATCCACATTTCATGCAAAACACCATTCCTAACCAACACGGTTCCAGAGTTCAAGCTCCAATTCCTCCAATGGTCCTTCGTGATCATTGCCATCTTCATGTATATCATGCACCTACTTGCATTGTCTTGCCTGATTTTAAGGCCAACCAATACAAAATCAAGCCCGAGGCCATTCAAATGTGTCCACTCTTTTATGGCTTAGATGATGAGGAGCCCTATAAACATCTTAATGAATTCTTTGAAATATGTTCCACCGTGAGGTATATGGATGTTCCGGAAGAAATTCTTAAATTACTTCTCTTTCCTTTTACTCTTAAAAACAAAGCAAAGCATTGGTTTAACACTTTGGGGGCAAATTCAATAACATCTTGGGCACAAATGTAAAATGAATTTTTGAAAAAAATTTACCCCGTAAGTTTGACTAATGCAATGCTTACTTCAATTAGAGAATTTTCACAAAGGAAAGGGGAATGGTAACATGAGGCTTGGGAAAGATTGAACGATTTTCTAAGCAAATGCCCTCATCATAGCATTCCGAAATGGTAAGTGGTTCAATATTTCTATGAGAGCCTATCCGACAGTCATAAGGACATTGTTGATACATTATGTGGAGGATCATATTTTGGAAAACATGAAGATGATATTTGGAACCTTTTTAAGAAAATGAGTGAAAATTCTTTGCAAAAATACTATGCTTCTCGGTTTGACCATGGTCCAAAAGAAAAGAAGAGAGAATTACAAGTGTGTCAAGTAGAGAGTCCATTGGAGATTGTAGCCGAGATTAAAACTCTTTCTCAAAAATTTGATAAATTCTTGTTGAATCAAAAACTGGCTAACCATTCATCTCCCTTTCGTCATACCTCTCATCTTTGTGAGCCTTGCATGACATGTTCAAGTGTTTTGCATACTACTTTTGATTGTCCCCATGGACATGTTTTTAATGAACATTTTGAACAAGTCAATGCTACTTTTGCTCACCCTTTTTCAAATGCATATGTTACAAGGTGGAATGAAAATTCAAGTCTTTATCAAGCTAAAAAATTTCAAAGCAAATACATTCCACCTCATAAAAGACATGTAGGTTCTCAAGGATTCGTCCCTTCTTCTTCCCATTACCAAAGAATGAATGACTTCTCGCATCCTCAAATGTATGATTCTCAAGTAGATTTTCATCATCCTCATGCACTATCAAGTAATTCTACATTTGAAGATAAGGTTTTGATGGCATTGGGTAGCTTAGAGAAGAATACCAACTTGTTGTATTCCCATTCTCAATCTATATAAAAGCTTGAATCCCAAATTGGGACCATAGCTAATGCATTGAATGCAAGGGAGGTTGGTAAGTTACCTAGTCAACCCGAGAGGAACCCAAAAGCCCAATTTTTTGTGGAAGCAAACCCTACATCGGGGTGTTCTTGCCAAGCTCAAGTGCAAGCAATCACTACTTTGAGAAGTAGAAAACAAGTGGACAATAAGGTTGAACTACTAAAGGAAGATGGTGAACCGGTGCAACCAAAAGTTGACACCCATTCAATTCCCAATTCTACTCCTATCTCCTTGGATGAAAATGTTACAAATCAGAAATCTCAATCTCCTCCACTATCATTTTCTCAAATTGCAAAGTCTCATGAGCCAAAAGCTCCTTTCCCTTATGCGTTGAGAGAAACTTTGCCTTAAGGGAGGCAAGATGGGAAAATACATGATATGATGGATGTTTTCAAGCAAGTATACATAAATCTTCCTCTCTTGGATGCAATTAGGCAAATTCTGCCTTATGCAAAATTCTTAAAGGATCTTTGCACACAAAAGAGGAAGAGCAAGGGACAAGGCCCTAAAAAAATGTTCCTCACGGAGCAAGTGAGTTCCATTCTTCAACAAAACACTCCACTTAAGTTCAAAGATCCCGGTGCTCCGACTATTTCTGGTGTAATTGGAAACCATGAAATTCGTAGAGCTCTTCTTGACTTGGGTGCTACTGTTAATTTGATTCCTTACTCCGTTTATGTCCAATTAGGATTGCATGAGTTGAAGCCAACCCCGGTGGTATTTCAATTGGCCAATAGATCCGTCAAAACACCTAGGGGCATGGTTGAGGACATCCTTGTCAAAGTGGATAAATTCCGCTTTTCGGTTGATTTTGTAGTTCTTGATACCGAACCGGTTGCTAATCCCACCAACCACATCCCAATCATCTTGGGAAGACCATTCCTTGCCACCGCAAATGCAATAATTAATTATAGGTCCGGAGTTATGGACCATTCTTTTGGCAATATGATGGTTAAGCTTAATGTTTTCAATGCAAGTTGACATCCCATAGAAGAAGATTAGTGTTGTCTTGTTGATGTGTTGGATGAGGTTGTTGAGGAATCAATTCCCACCATGATAATAAAACAACCAATTGAGGATAATCTTTCATCCCTTTTATCCGATGATCCTCTTGCTTCTTGTCTTCTTAAAATGTATGGTAATTGTGGGTTTGATGGTGAAAATTCAATAAATGAAGTAAGTAATCTCATGGAGTCCGTTGCAAGTTTAGATTGCCCATCTTGGAAAACTCCAATAGGTACTCTTCCCCCACTCTCTAGCACTCCACCGGTTCCATCATTAATCTCTCCACCAGCTCTTGAGCTCAAAACTCTACCTTCCAATCTTAAGTATGCATTTTTAGGTCCACAAGACACACTTCCAATCATCATCTCTTCAAGACTTGAAAAGGACCAAGAAAATGCTCTCCTAAATGTGCTTAAAGAAAATAAGGAAGCCATAGGGTGGAGTGTGGTGGATCTTAAGGGAATTGATCCTTCTATTTGCTTGCATCGTATACTAATGGAAGAAGATGCAAAACCCTTTAGGGATGCCCAAAGGAGACTTAACCCAAACATGAAGGAAGTAGTTAAAAAGGAAGTAGTCAAGCTCTTAGATTCCAGGATCATCTATCCAATCTCCGACAGTAAATGGGTGAGTCCTACACAAGTAGTTCCTAAGAAATCGGGGATTACCGTGGTTGAAAATGCAAAAGGTGAAGAAATCTCTAAGCGTACCACCAATTCATAGCGTGTGTGCATTGATTATGGCAAATTGAATGCTGCCACTAGAAAGGATCACTTCCCTTTGCCATTCATTAATCAAATTCTAGAGAGATTGGCCAGACAACAATATTATTACTTCCTTGATGGCTATTCGGGTTACAATCAAGTAGCTCTAGACCCATTGGACCAAGAGAAAACCACCTTTACTTGTCCATTTGGTACATTTGCTTATAGACGGATGCCTTTTGGTTTGTTCAATGCACCCGCCACATTCCAAAGGTGTATGATGTCAATTTTCTCGGACATGGTGGAAGAGTATCTTGAAGTTTTCATGGATGATTTTTCTGTTTTTGGGTCTTTCTTTGATGTATGCCTTAAGAATTTGGAACTAGTGCTAAAAAGATGTCGTGAAACAAACCTTATTCTTAGTTGGGAAAAGAGCCACTTTATGGTTCAAGAGGGTATTGTTTTGGGTCACGTCATATCAAAAAGGGGAATTGAGGTAGATAAGGCGAAAGTTGAGCTTATTTCTGAATTGCCTCCACCTTCAACGGTGAGAGAGGTTCCCTCCTTTCTAGATCATGCCGGCTTCTATCACTGTTTCATCAAAGACTTTAGCAAAATTGCTCGACCCTTGTGCAATCTCCTTGCTAAGGAAACTCCTTTTGTCTTTGATCAAGCATGCCTAGACGCCTTCCATAAGTTGGGTGCATTATTATCATTAGCTCCTATCATGCAACCTCCCAATTGGACACTTCCATTTGAAATTATGTGTGATGCTTCTCATTATGCCATGAGAGCTGGTTTTGGCCAAAGAGTAGGAAAGCTTCCTTGTGCCATATATTATGCGAGTAAAACTTTCTTGGGAGCTCAATTAAATTACTCCACTACCGAGAAAGAATTACTTGTCGTAGTGTATTCTCTTGACAAATTTTGTACTTATCTCTTAGGTTCTAAGGTTGTTGTTTATTCTAACCATGCCACTTTGAGACTTCTTTTGACAAAAAGGGATACAAAACCTAGGTTGATTCAATGGATTTTACTCCTCCAGGAATTCGATTTTGAAATCAAAGACAAGAAAGGCACCGAAAATGTGGTGGCCGATCATCTTTCTAGGTTGTCGATAGAGCCTTTCCCTAGTCCACCAATTTGTGATTCTTTTCTGGATGAACAAATTTTTCAAATTTCCAAATGGAAAAATGCCTTGGTTTGCCAACAGTGTGAACTATTTGGCAATAGGCAAGCTTCCAACTTCTTGGTCGAAGAACACAAAGAATCATTTCTTTGCTAACATCCGGAATTACTATTGGGAAGATCCTGTCTTGTACTGGTATTGTCCGGATCAAATTATGAGGAGATGCATTCCAGAGAGTGAAATTCCAAGTGTCCTAGTGTTTTGTCACACTCTTGCATGTGGTGGGCATTTTAGTGCAAAGAAGACCACCTTAAAGGTTCTTCAAAGTGGGCACTTTTGGCCCATTATTCATAGAGATTCCTACAAATTTTGCAAGTCATGTGAAAGATGTCAAAAGATGGGGACAATGTCTAGAAGAGATATGATACCCTTGACCAATATACTTGTTGTTGAGATCTTTGACATTTGGGGCATTGATTTTATGGGTCCATTTCCTATGTCCTATGGTTTTCAATACATTCTTCTTACCGTTGATTATGTTTCCAAGTGGATTGAGGCTTGTGCTACCAAAACAAATGACCACCCCGTGGTTATTCAATTCATTAAATCTAGTATCTTTGCTCGTTTTGGTATGCCAAGAGCTATAATAAGTGATGGAGGAAAGCATTTTTGCAATCAATTCTTAAGGCACCTTTTTCTTAAGTACTTCGTCACTCATAAAGTAGCTACTCCCTACCATCCTCAAACAAGTGGGCAAGTTGAAGTGTCTAATCGGAAAATTAAGCATATTCTTGAGAAAACAGTTAACACCACCCAGAAGGATTGGTCAAGGAAGCTAAATGATGCTTTATGGGCTTACCGGACGGCATACAAGACTCCCATTGGCATGTCTCCTTATAGACTTGTATATGGAAAGCCTTGCCATCTTCCGGTTGAGCTAGAACACAAAGCCTTTTGGGCGGTTAAAAAGCTCAATCTTAACCTTAACAAAGCCGGAGAGAATAGACTTCTTCAATTGAGTGAGTTGGAAGAGTTGAGACACAATGCTTATGATAATGCCAAGCTCTACAAAGAAAGAACCAAAGCCTTCCATGATAAGCATATTGTGAAAAAGTCTTTGAAACCTAGTCAAAAAGCTTGGCTCTTCAACTCTAGGCTCAAACTCTTTCCTGGGAAGTTGAGAACTAAATGGGAGGGTCCTTATGAAATCATCTCTCTTGCACCTCATGGGGCGGTTGAAATCCAAAATTTGATGTGCATTGACTGCCGGAAACTAAATTCTACCACTAGGAAGGATCATTTCCCACTCCCATTCATTGATCAAATCCTAAAGAGGCTAGCCGGCCAAAGCTACTATTATTTCCTTGAT